CCCCCCCACCTCCTCCCCTTACGAATATGAAACAGAAAAACCCGAGCGAGGAGAGGTGGGAGGGAAAGAGAGAACAGGCGATTGAACCCGCGTTCGTTTTTTTTCCGCCCCCGTGATTGATGAAAAATGTAACAGGTTCGGGAAGAAATGGCTTTTAAAAATGTCTTTCTGTTTATTACTTCCACGGCTCGCGATCATTTACTCTTGTCCGCACAATATTCGGGCGCAGTCAGTTTAGATGAGATAAATCGTCACGTCATAAAATGGTTTATGCTTAAGTAATGAATCTCCTCTTACTCAATCTCGCTTCTCATGCACAGGCTCTTACATTATCTTATTTAAAAATCACCTCGTAACGGTAGCAATTAGTACTATATTTCAAAATATATTGAAATATTGCGAAAGAGAAAAAAAAAAAAGACATTTAAAATGACGGGCATCTCCGGAATAATATTTTCCTAGAGGAAAGCAATAAGCGTTAAGGTATCAGACAGGAAAGGAGAGGGAGATTTGCACATAACCCGGTGTGGAAAAGCTCCGACACACCGTGGGGCTGAAACCCAAGCCGGTATTCCGGTCGGGAAAGCCGTAAAGCCCCTTAACACTGCAGAACGCAATTAAATACAAGGAGCTTTATTGCATCGCAACGTCAGCTTCATTTGGGAGTTAAAAAAAAAAATTACAATGAGAGCGCTGCGCTCTGGGTTGGCTTCATTCTTATTATTATTTTTTTCTCTCATTTCTTTTTTTTTTTTTAATTCCCTCTTTTCTGTTTTTTTTTAAATTTTTTTTTCCGCAACTAATTTCCAGAACCTTAATTCCGAGGACTGCCGCGAACTGCCCTCGCCGAAGAAACCACCCACATAATAATGACCCTGGAGAGCAACGCAAAACCCAACTGGCTTCCGCACGAACTTCGCCAAATTACTGGGCTCGCCTCAAGACAGGCAAACTGGCAAGAGATTCTGCGAGGGGGAACAAAATAAAACGCGACAACTGCCCACAAAGGGTTTGGTATTTTTTTAAAGGCACTATCTAAAAGCCTCCGCCACCGAGCTACTGCAAAATCCTTCATTCCAAGTCTACTGTCTCCAGGTGACCTTACAGGCTTCATTTTTCTCCTTCCCGGACCGTTATTTCATTCTTCTTTCTCTTTCTTATTTCCTTTCTTATATTTTCCCCTCTGCTTTTGCCTCTATTCCTTTCTTTCTCATATTTTCCTATTTTCTTTCCCTGTTTCTTTCTCTCCGTTTCTTTCTTTCCCCCTTCTTTCCATTCTCCTTTCTCTCCCCCTTCCCTCTTTACCTCACCTTTACGTTACACATTTTCGGGGGGGGGAAAATAGCGCTTAAACAGATTTCCACCAGCCCAAATTTCTTCCAGTGCCTCCCTCCTTCATCACCCCACCCTTTTCTTTCTATCCCCCCGGATAGAAGGAGATGGGGAGAAGGAACCAGAAAAGGCATCTTGACAAACGCATTTTCTCGAAGAAAAAAAAGAAAAAATTAAATTAAGAGAAACGTATGATTCCCTTACCTTTTGACGTCCATTTCTGTGGCATAAGGTAAAATATTTAGGGAGGGAGAGACAGCGTTTGCTTATCTGTTAGCTGACAAATATTGTCCCAACCTGAGAGCCGTCGATTGCCTCTCTGACTTGTGAGAGCTTCTTGCTTTTCTGTCATTTGCATAGAAAATGGAGTAACTTCCCTCCGTGAAAAATGATCGCCTCCACTCCGTCCAGAATCTCCTCTGCCCTTCCATTATTACTGAGATTCCAAAGCAGCAGGCAAATTAACGGAGGAAATTTTTTTCTCTCTCTCTTTAAAAAATTAACGGTAATAATAATAATAATAATTTAAAAAAAAAATCGTCTCTAACTCTTTAGCTACGTGTGTGTGTGCGGAGGGTGGGTGTCTCCGCGTGCGTGTGGATGTGTGTTCAGGCGGCCCCCCCCTCCCCTCTCCCCTGTTTTAGCCCTACCGAGCTTATACACAAAAGTAAAAAAATGTAAAGAGGCGAGAGCCCTATAGAGGACACTGATCCGACCCAAGGTGCAGCGGACAGAAGAATGGTGCAATATAACCACATGGGAAATAATAAAAAGTTCATGTTCACGGTTAGCAGTCCACATGACCGGCTCTGGCCAATCCCAGAACCCAGCCACTCATAAAGTTCTATCACAAAGTTGTAAATTTTCATAAAACAACAAGGAATTTATTGCATTTCTTCATGACCGGTTTAACAGCAGTCTTTTTCTTAGCCGCCATCTTTTTTTTTTTTTTTTTTTTAAACACAAAAATAAAGGAATAGGAAAAGGGGTTCGGGGATTTTTTTTACCCCCCACCCCCCACTCCTCGGTTGGATGCGGGGCCGGGGGGGGAAGCGTTGGAGAGAAATAATCGAATATATCTCCTGGCGCTATGAACAATAAGAGCCCCCCCAGAATAAAGAGCTCGAGGTTTGGGTTGGCTTTTAAACGGGGAAAGGCACAGTAAAACAGTGGGGTTCGCCGCGATTTTGGATGGCTTTCCCCTTTTTTTTTCCACGCCTTTCTGTTGAAAGGGGCAATTAGGAGCTTTCGGGGAGGGGGGAAGAGGGAAATAAAGGCAATAAAAGCGTGGTTGGGGTGCCCATGCCCCGGGCAGAGCGGAGCCCGCGGGGTTCGTGCCTAAAGGGCTCCCCACGGCCAAAAAAACCCCCCCGGGACCCCACCCGGGTCCCCCCGAGACCCCCCCGGCAGCTCGGGGCGGGGTGCGGGGGGTGCCCCGCCAAGGTGGGTCACCCCACCCGCGCACCCCCTGCCCTGCCTTTATCCCATCGCAGCGCCGGGACGACCCCGCTTCGCCTTTTTTCCTTGGAATTCTCCCCCAATTCCCGCTCCCCCCCCCCCAACCGCAGAGGTGCAGGAGCGGGAGGGGGGGGGCGGGAAATTTCTGGAATCGCTTCTATTCCCCCCCCCTTCTCCTCCGCTTTATGCACCCAGCGCTCCCTCCAAGTGCCCGCACCAAGGGAAAAAAAAATAAAAAAAAAAGGAAGATTTCCCCCTTCTTTTCCCTTCGAGTGGGAATTTCGGGGCGCGAAAAAAAGCCCCGCGAGCCGCCGCTCTTTTAATAACGGGCTTCCCGTAATTCGGATTCTGCGGCACACGCGGCGGATCTGGGGGCGCGCGGGCGCTTTTGACGTGGCACCTTTATTTTGGCCAAAAAAAACCTGCCCGAGGATGCGCCGCGCGCCTTCACTCGGGGCGTGGAGTCACCGGGGCTGGTGGGTGGCGAAAATCCAGAGAGGCAGAGAGGGAAGGAAGGGGGAAGGTGGGGAAGCTGCCACCGCCAAACCCTTCCAGAACCGGGCGCGTTTTTTTTCCCCCCTTCCCTGGGCATTTATGGAGTAAATTACGTGGAGCCTCCGCGGGAGGATCCGCGTCTTTACTGATGTAAATAAACAGCGGTGGGAGGGGGCGAGGGCGGCGGATGATGCTTAAATTTACTCGCCTTTTGTTTGGCGTTGTTGATTTTTTTTTTTACCTCCCATCCCCTCGTTTAATTGCTTTAATTTATTTTATGCGCGCTTTGATGCTAAACATTATTTGGCGCTAATGAAAAGAGTCCGCAGTAAAGCCATTGAAGGGAGGAGGGAGAATCTTAAAAAAAAAAAAAAAGAAAAATAAAATTACTGAAGGCACGGTAAAACAGGTTTTCTGTAAATTAGTTACGAGGAGAAGAGAATTAAAATAAGGAGCGGAAAGGCTATTTGGGCTGATTCTGGGTTCTTTACGTTCCTCCTTTTTGCTCTTACCTTTCTCAGTAACAGCACCAGGGCAATCGTAGAGGGAGAGACAGAAGAGGGAACAGCCCGCATTTCGACAGCCCCGAATATCAATTATATCTCGGCATATTCGCCAAATCTACTGAAAAAAAATCAAATATTTTGAATGGGTTGTCCGTTTCAAAGAAAAGGATTGAAATTTAGGGGCTAGATCGGGGTAAGAGGATGTTTTATCTCATTTATTTTGCACGGGAAAAAAAGCCGCTTCAAACCCCCTTGTGTTATCTTTAATAAGAAAAAGGGAATGCACCCAACGCCTTGGTGGATTACTGGAGATTTCGGTTTTATTTCGAAGAATAATAATCACAGACAAGGAAAATAATAATAATAATAATAATAAAAAAGCAACGCGTCGCCATTAAATAATTTGCTACTTTGATATACAACATTTTACGTAGCACAATATTAATTCCTCTTCTTTTTTCTTTTCTTGTCATCTTTTTTTTTCTCCCCCTCCCTCCCCGTAGAGACTCGAACAACGAAGGAACCCAGGTAAAAATATACACAGACAAAAGAGCATAGCAAGGAGAAAAGAACCACAGAGGTTACAGGGAGAAGGGATAATAATAATTCATATTCTGTACAGGACTATATACGCTAAGTGTAATTTGCATTCAGGCTTTCAGGTCACATTTTCTAAATTAAAGGTGCTAAAACACGACCACGTTACTTCTTTACCCAAAAAAAGTACACAGCGAAGTACAAACGGAGATTTACAAATTACTGGTACTAGAGGAAGGCTCACATAGAAAAATGTGTCTATTCTGACTCTAAAGCCACATTTAATAGGTAGATATTCTATTGTACAAAAAAAAAAAGGACTTTAATATAGGTAGTATTTTTTTCAGTGTCAGGAAACACAAGGTATCACTCCTAGGGTTTTGAATTCTTTATGCACTTATCATTTCTCTATTTTTATATATAGTCTTTTTTTTTTTTATCCCGTGCCTTTCGCCCCCTCTTCTTCCCGCGTGGGGTTCCACGTTTCCCGCCTCCACCTCTCTCTCGCCCCTCTCATTCCTCCTCGTCGTCCTCCGCGTCTGGTTTTTCCTGGCCGCTGGAGCCGGAGCAGGCGGTTTTATTCTCTTTTTTCCACTTCATGCGCCTGTTCTGGAACCAGATTTTGATCTGTCTCTCGGTGAGACACAGCGCGTGGGCGATCTCGATGCGTCTCCTCCTGGTCAGGTAGCGGTTGTAGTGGAACTCCTTCTCCAGCTCCAGGGTCTGGTACCTGGTGTAGGTCTGGCGGCCGCGTTTTCTGTCGGTGCCTGGGAAATAAAGGCAGATTCGGGTCATTTGGGGGGTTGGGGAGATGCTTTTGGGGCTGCTGGGTCGGTTTGATCTCTCGCTTTTGTCTCTGGGCGCAGCCTGGCACGGACCCAGCCCCTGCAGTCCCACGAGGGGCAAAGTCCTCGCAGGAACTGCACCTGGGCCAGCCCCTTCTTTTTATTTGAAATATCAGCTCCTGCTGCTCGAGGCTTTCCCACCTCACCTTCTATGTTCTCAGCCCCCCAAAACCACCCCAGCTTTAACTTCCTTTCGTCCTGGAAAAGCGCGCAGTGCTTTTTTTATACGTGTGCCTGTGCGTGTCTCCCAGCAAACAACAAAGTTCAGAAAGTTTCCTGCCCTCCTATCCCCGGTCAGACTCCGAGTTCCTGCTTTAATTTTCATTTAGACACCAGAAATTCGGGATGGTTGGCAAATAAATAGAGAAATACAGAGCGACAGAGACATCTGCTACCTACACCAATCCAACTATTTGTCCTCTCTTAAAGCTGTCATCAGGATGCCTGCTTGGAAGGTGTGTGATGGTCTTAATCATTTCAGGGCATGTTTTGGGCCCAGGGATGACTTCGGCAGCTCTCAGAGAGGCTTCTCCCCCCCCGGTTGCTCATTTTGGGGGGTGTGCAGATGAGAAGCGACTCAACACTCACCCCAGGCTCCCCCAGCACCCTCCGGCCGCCTGCGAGCAGGGTTTGGAAAGGGCCCAGCTCCTGATTCTCCCCTCCACCCGACATTTCCTGCAGTCTGATTGGAAATTATTCTACAATATGGTGTTTGTGATCCCGGCTCCGTGTTCTGTGTAAATGTTGTGTATGTCTGCAGTAGAACATGTTCTTTCCCAGGGCAGTGGGGATGGGGAGCAACCCTCGGCCTCTCCTCCACACATTCCACCGGACTCCTCTTCTTCTTCTCCCCTCTTTCCCCCCACCCCAGCCCTCTTTCTTTTTTAAAAGAAGAAAAGATCCAGTCATTAAAAGGAGAAAAAAAAAAAAAAGGCAAAATAGCCAGGCTAGCTGTAAAGTAAAAATGTGCAGGTCGTGGAATGTGGGTTGTAAAATCCGCTGAGGGAAGAGCCATAAACTGCTGCTGAATAGGGATGACAACTCTATCTCTGCTCGCTGATGAAATTCCACAAGCGGGATCGCACAGTGGGCATGGAAAGCACTGGGAAAGGGGGGGGCGGGAAGGGGGACCCCGCTTTTACGACCCAGGTCGAGTTTTTCTGGTTTTAGGCTCAGCAGATCCCGGATCATCCAGGGTTTTCTGAGCGTTCGCCCCGTTTCCAAACCATCTCCAGGGTTGATCCTCGCAGCGTCACGGGCTAAAAGAGGGGTGAGCAAGGAGGGGGGCTTCTTAAATCTAAAGTCGGATAAAAGCAGAGGTGAAGTGTTTACGACCAGAAATATTTGGTCTTTGATAAATCAACTGTAAGAGTGGATGAATTATGGAGCAGGTAATGGAAAGAACTGACCACCAAATAAGTGTGAGGGGAACTCCTGCCTTTAGAAGCAGCTCCACATTGGCTGCTCGGCTGTTTTCTTTCGCCTCTGCCTCGCAGGGAGGTTGGCCCGCACCCCGCTCGCCCCCCAGGTTTCCTAAGAAGGCCTTTCCCGAATTTTTTTTGGCGGCGGAGAGCGTCTCGCTCGCAGGGGGTGATGCTCTCAAGTCGCAACCCGGCGGCTGGAAAATGAGCTCACGCCTTCTCCCCCTCTCCCAGCCGGGACAGCATCGCCTTTCTCCCCCCCCTTCTCAGGATCCCACGAGTGTAAACAGCACCACGCGTGTGCTCGGACAGGGCCCGTGATGCTCCAAAGGGGGGAAAATGAGTCCCGGAGCTCCGGCCCGGCCCCGGCGCGCCCAGAGCAGGAGGGCCCGGGGGGAGCCGGGACGCCCCGGGTCCGCTCCCGGTGAGGGAAATGGATATTTATTGAATGTTAATTGACATTAATACCCTGAGACGGAGCGCGCCGGTGACTGAAGGCGGAGGGTTTGAGACCCGTGTGCGGGGGCAGCGTGACCCGGCGTGGGCCGGCCCCGGGGACCCTCCAGCCCCCCCAGCAGAGCCCCAAGGTCCCCAAAAGTCCCCTCCCCAACGTGTGATGTTCTGGGGACACAGCTAAACGTGCTCTCCCCCCCCACCTTATCCATCCATCCCTCCATCCATCCCTCCCTCCATCCATCCGGATTCCAACCGGAGCGTCACCGATCTGGGAGCGGAGCTTTGGGATGAGGAGGGGCTGATGTGTTGCTGGTTCTGAGGGCTGCGTTTGGGACGCTGTGAGGGGCCGGCAAGCGAAGCTTTTGCCATCTAACAGAAAACAAACCGAGCCTGCGAGCGCTTCCCATAACCAGCTTCCTTCAGAACCCACGTCTCTCTGTACACGGGGGCAGCACAACCTCCATCCTGTAAATACAGGAGGAGAAGGGGCTGGCCATGATTTCTGCGTCTCCGTCTGTCCCCTCCGAGACAAACTGCCTTTTGCACGGCACATACACAGCCCCGGCAACACCAATAAATATTTAAAGCTAAAAGGATGGCTTTCTGGCAGGGGGGGGCCGCGGTGGAGGGGGGGTGGCGGTGGAGGGGGGGCTGCTGTGTCGCTTCTCTGCCTCTCTCTTTTGAAGATGCGTTTTCAGTGAGACGTCATGAAAGGAGTTGGGGACAATTCCCCCCTCCCCCTCCGCCACCCCCCGCGCACGCCATCGAATAATTTACGCTCCCCCCACCCCCTAACCCCCCTCCCCCGACCCCGCGCTCCTTTTCTTTCGGGAGGCCGGGGCTTACCTGTGCTCCTCATCCAGGGGTAGATGCGGAAGTTGCTGCCGTCGCTTTGCAAATCTGAGTCCCTCTGGTCCGTTTTGCTGCAGTTCTGCTTGGAGGCGTCTCCGGGGCACATCATGGAGAGGTTTTGCTCGAAAGGGGAACAGTGCATGTTGAAGGAGCCGGGCTCCAGGCCGTAGCCGGAGGAGTACATGCCGGGGGGCTGGGGGTGCACGGCGCTGCCACTGGAGTAGAGCCCGGGCATGGAGGCGGCGAAGGGAGGCGTGGATCCGGCCCCATACCCCGCTCGCTGGGTGTTGGAGGCGAAAGCGCAAGAAGTTTGCTCGGGAAAGACTCCGGACGGGAAAACCGAACTTGCGGCTTGATATTTAGAAAATAAAGCATTCGCATAATACAATGAACTCATAATTTGGCCGGGTGATTTGTAGGTCGGGACGTTTTAGTGTCGGTTTTACGAGGTACCGTGATATATTACGGAATTAGAGTCCAGATTTACACCAAAAAGGAGCCTTTTTCCTCCCGGCCCTTGTGACGCGCGGGCACGTGGCTGCTGCGGCGCCAATCGCCGCCCGCCCCCTCCTCGGGGGCACGAGACTGTGCGGCTGGATTTATAAAATATGATAAATAATTGATGCGATATAAAACCCTCCAAGATCTATGCTGGAAGGGGTGAAATTGTGCTGGAGTCGATAAGCAACCTGTAATCAGTTTTCAGCTCAGACCGAGGGGAGAAAGAGAGGGGAAAAAGGGGGAGGGGGGTAAAAAAAGCACGTTGCTGATAAAACAGCGACTCCCTCTCGGTCTCTCTCTGCTGGAGGAAAGGGAAGGGAGCTCTATTTATCCCTTTATTGATCCCGTCTAAAATTCCCTCCTTCGCACCATTTCCTCGGCTCCGAGCTACTTTTTCACGAGACTGTACATAATTCCCTTCTCTCCCCCCTTGACCCTCGCTCCCCCCAACCCCCCCCCAAAAAAAAAAAAGACAAATGTCTCATTGATACCTAATAGTTTCAGGCTTCTGTTCCCCCCCTCCCCAAATGCCATTCAGCTCTATATCTAATTTATTCCAGTGCCACAGGCTTTGAGCTCCGTATTGAGCTGGCATTTGCTTTCCTTGTGGCGAAAAATAAAGAGTGCACAGATCCCTTGTTTGGCGTGTCAGCGGTTCTGCGGGACTCAATTACAGGCAGAAGTCAAACCTTACCAGCTGGCTGATTTGCTTTCTGCTGGAGAAGCAGAGAGACCTTCCAAAATGGGATCTGCCTCGGGTTTGTTGGTTGTTTTGTTTTTTTTATAAGGGGAGGGGGATGTGCAGAAAGGAAAGGTTTACAGGCAGGAAAAGCGGACAATGGTGGATGTGCATCTGAGGTTTGTGCTGGTTCTCCTTTCCCAAGGTTATGTGCATCCCCGCGCTCCTCTCCGGCCGAGAGGCGAAGGAGCAGAGAGAACGGCTCAGCTGCGAGACTGATAATGTGGGTTTTTAACAGCGAGATGAGTGGGAGGAAAGGAAGGGGGACCCAGAGCTGGGCTGCGTCTGGCGGGGGCAGCGGGGAGGGCGCGGAGAGCCGGGGAAAGGAGGGAAGGGAAAGGGGAAAAGAAGAAAAAAAAAAAACCAACAACAAAGCAAAACAAGGCACGTTACCTCTTCAGGAAGGATTTCCACCCAGCCTCCCGACCTGTCAGCAGCCGGGCACTGTTAGAAACAACAACAAGAGCAGAAGCCATCGCAGCCGCCCCGGCCCCCTCCTCCCCTTCCCCGCGGCTCGCAGGCAGCGGCTCCCCGGGCCCAGCCCCTGCCTCCGGCCGGGCCCGCAGCCCCCCGGGCCCGCCAGCATCTCTCCGGGCAAAGAAAGTCTTTGATGGCCACGGCTGCGGCTGCGACACAATTGACTTTTATTTCCTTTCTATCAAAGTGGTCCTGGAGGAAGCGGAGCAGGGTAAAAGAATGATGTCACGGAATTCTCGCTTGTAAACTTTATTGTAACTTTCTTCCGCCGCTTCCAGGTTTAGACAATAGAACAAAGTGATGAAAGAACAACAAAATATATCATTAGTTCCCCCAATAAAGTAATTCACGTGTACAGTATACATTCTTTTTCACAGTTAACCTAAAGATCACTTTACAACTTGCTTCACTGTGCGCATGCTAACTAAAGGAGAGAAAAACGCTTTTTTTTCTGGTATTTTTTCTTTTTTCCCTTTTTTGGAAGAGACATTTAAAAATTGGGGAAAAAAAAAGAAAGAAAAAAAAAAAGAAGACCGAACCAAGGAAAAGAACAGTAGGGAAAGCAAAGAGAGGAAGAGAGAGAGAAAGAGAGAGATAACTAGAGCATAAATAGGCAGTTTCATGTTGTTGGGATGTTTGTTTCAGTAGCTACCTCCAGTACATACAGATAAACCACAACCAAAAAGGTGGAAAAGAAAAATCAAATCAAATTAAAAAAAAAAAAGTGCACAAACGTAATTTCACGTAACTCCTATAGCATTGAAAGCTACGTTAACCAACCCACCCCCCAGGAAAGAAGAGAGAGACAGAGAGAGAAAGACAGAGAGAGAGAGAGAGAGAGAAGATTTCACAGTCATGTTTTACATAAGCTATTGCGTTACACTACCACTAGTTAATAACTGGCAAAAGGCAGGAGAGAGCTCCCGAGCACTTTTGCATACTGTTCATTGTATCAAAGGAGAATCAGGAAAGTGGTGCTTACAGCTATATTGTTTTACAGCAATAAAAGGGTTTTTTTTTTCCTTTCTCTTTTCTACGCATTGTTGTTTTTTTCCCCACCCCTCCCTTACATTATCTGCCATTAACGTGGGGCTCAGGGGCTCTGCCACCCCAGCAGCGCTTGCCTTTCAGTCCTCAAAAATCCTTTTATTTCTTGTCCGCCTTCTGTGCTTCCCCTTCCTCGTCCACCTCCTGGGCTCTTTCCATTTTCTGTTTTTCCAGTTCTTCCTGCTCGCATTTGCTGCTGGGAAACTTGTCTTTGTTGTTTTCCTTTTTCCATTTCATCCTCCTGTTCTGGAACCAGATTTTGACCTGCCTTTCTGTCAATCCCAGGGCGTGCGAGACCTCGATCCTCCGTTTGCGGGTCAGGTAGGGATTAAATAGAAATTCCTTCTCCAGTTCCAGCGTCTGGTAGCGGCTGTAGGTTTGCCTCCCCCTCCTCCGTCCAGCGGCTGCTGGGGGATTGCAAAGGTTGGGTGGGAGAGGGGAAGGAGAGAAGGAGGTTGAGAGATACATAAACCAGGCTCGGGAATGGGCACACACGGGCTCACACACACTCCCAACACGCAGGCGGGGAGGGGGAGGAAGAAAGGACTCGCAGGAGCAAAGGCAGGAAGCAAAAGAGGGCGAGGGAAAGGCTCCCGGAGAATATTTTCAAAGGGAAGATGGTTATAAAGGAAAGGGGTGATGGTGGCGGAGAAGGGGAGGAGAGGGGGGGGTCACCCACCAGCCCACCCCGAGCAGGCTGCACTTGCACACTGATTATTACCCCGAGCACCACCACAACAACAGGCTCCGGCACTTTGGGACCCCCGCGAAAGAGGAAAAAAAAAACCAACCCGACAGACCCAAAATAAAATGAAAATAAATAAATAGCCGCGGCCCCGGGAGAACCGGCAGCACCGGCGAAATCCCAAATCAAACGCAAAACAAAAATGAAGGGGCTTTTTAAGGCTATAAAAGTGCCATAAACTTTAAGGACGCTTCCTTCCACAGAAAGCCCGGCTCGCTCAGCCCCCAGAAGAAAAGGTCTCCTTCAGGGTAATTAAACTATAAAGCAATTTACAAGTGCAAAAGTTTACCCCCATAAAGCAGTAAAATACAGTCAGCGGGGGAAAGAAAAAGGCAGCGAAAAGAAAGCGAAGCGACCGAGAGGGGCAGAAAGAAAAGCGAGAGGGCGACTTTGTGGGCTCAGGAAATGCCTCCTTCGCCGCGTCCTTTTTCCATCTCGCCTCACCTTGCGGTCGCATCCAAGGGAAAAGCTGGGTCGGAGAAGGGCTTTGCTCGGAGCTCTCCGCCTCCTCTCCGAGGCCGCTGGCCGCGAGCTTGCAGTCCGTGTACTGCACCAAGTCCGACTCCTGGGCGCTGAAGAGGCTCTGCCTTTGCAAGGGGTCGTAGCCATAGAAGTTGCCGGGGTCCCCATGGCACGCCACGGCGCAGGGATTCTGTTGGTAAGGGGAGCTGGAGAGCGAGGACGCTCCGTGGTAGAACTCCTGGATTTGGGTGGGGTGCTGGAAGGTGCCCCCCGTGCTGGGTCCGTACACCACGGTGGGTCTGCCCCCGAGATCCTGAGCGAACCCACAGTCATAGTAGTTGGGGCGCAGGGAGTCCCCGGTTTTGTACTTGGAGAAGAGTGAGTTGACGAAATAAGAGCTCATTTTAATTTAAATAAGAAACGGGTTCGGGGTTTGGAGGAAGGAAGAAAAATTTTTATATAAAAAAAAAAAAAGGGAAAAAAAAAAAAAGAGAAGCCAACCAAAAGCAGACCACGGGAATCTATTAGCAAAAAAAGAAAGCGCTAAGATGCTAAGCAACGACAGTTTGTGATTTCCAGGAATATAAAAGGAGGATATAATCAAAACTCTAAGCCTGCATGATATTGAATTCTTTCCTCCCCCCCACCCCTAAAAAAAAAAAAAAATCGCCACTTAAAGAGTTCTCGCTTTACATTTCCAAGAAGAGATGCCAGTTCATAAACAGTTTTCAGTGATTTACTTCAGCGCAAATGAGTTGTTTCATATTTTGCAGTGTCTTTTCATGATCATTTGCATCTATTACCAAAACCTCATCCTATTGGCTTCTCCTTACTCCACACGGACTCTGCACCGCATGATTGTGAAAGGAAGAGTGTGAGAGAATAAAGAAGGAAAAGCAAGCGAGGGGGAGCGAGAGAGGGAGAGGGAGCGAGAGAGAGAGAGAGAGAGAGAGAGGGAGAGAGAGAGAGGGAGTGAGAGGGGAAGGGAGAAGGAGGTGGGGTGAATATACGGATTAAATATGTTTAACTACCTACATTAATGAGATATCGCTCGCCTCACAACAAATCACGTACCTAGACCACCCAAAAGATTGATTTTTGGGGAGTGTTGGAAAATTAAAGAGAAGCGCTCGCAGTCGTTAATTTCAAAATTTTAACGAGGCAGTTTTAGCCTTTTTAAATGTCAGGGTCGCTTTGGAAAACTGTAAAAGAACACGATTTAATTGCTACCAGTTTTAAAAGGTCCTATAAATGTAATTGGTATTTTAATACAAGTTATCAAATCATACAGCTTCTTACCCTAAACATATTTTAAAACAAACGAGGTAGTCATATTTAACATTTTAATGATCAATTTCCTTATTATTGATAAAGGTTTAACTATCACATGAAGGGAATTGCATTTGTAATAGCCCCAAAAAAGGCTGTAAACTGTTTAACAAACTATAAAACGCCATAAAGCCGGGGATGTTGTTGTTGTTTATACCGCACTACATAAAAGCCGTTAGGATTTTACGAGTTCGTTCCTCCACCGCTATAAAGCAGAGGTTTCGATTGGACCCGTCCGCATTACGGCGAGATGTCGAGGTGTCAATATTGAATTAAAATGATTATAGTTTTTCATATATAACATTGACTTTTTGTGGCTCTTCCCGCAGCCCCTTCCCTGCCTTCCTCCTCCTCCTCCTCCTCCTCCTCCCCCGCCGAGGACTTGCTCAAGATGCGGTTGGGGATGATTTGGGAACTAAAAGTCTTGTGTCTCTTATCACCTCCCGACCAGAACCTCGCCGGTCGGGAACCGATGGTCGCTCCCCACTCACCCCCTCCTCAATAACTTCCATTTCTCTCTTTATTTCGCCCGGTCCTGGGTGATGAAAACCGGGGGGAAGCGGGGGATGGGAGAGAGAGAGAGGAGAGAGAGGAGAGAGAGGAGAGAGAGGCTTTCTGTTTTATTGGCATTTGGTAACAACGGTGCAAACTTACCCCGAAGATGCCAACGCTGCAATTTTCCACCGTCTAAACACACAGGGGGTAGATTTTCAAATTCATTTATCGCAGTCAGCAAATATTACCGAGGCGTTTTTCAGCTAATAACGACTCCAAACCCTCCCAAGCCCCAGCGCTGCCCCAGCCTCGCAACCCCCAGGACGCCCCTCCAAGCCCCTCGCAATGCCAGCTCTGTTCTCCAGCCCTTCCACCTTCCAGACGAGTTAAAAACACTCTTTTAAACCTCCATTTTAAATTTTTTCCCCCTCTTTTCCACCCTTTTGCCCTGGGTAGGTTTCTACTGCTTCCCATCGCATCCCCCCTGCGCGGGTTTTGCCCGGAGAAAGGTGAATTAAAGAGGGTTCTGCCCCTGCCTGCCTTCAGCTGAGGGACAATTTTCCAGCTCCACGACATGGAAAAAGAGGAAAAAGTTGGGATGTTTCGGTTAGTCCGTCTTTCCAAAGCTTTGGGGAAAAAAAAATCCACTAAAATCAAGAGTGGGAATAGGCAGGGAATGAAGAAAGGCAGAAAGAAAGAGAAGGAGAGAAAACAAAGATAGTAACGGAATAAAACTTTAAAACCATCCTTAGAGAAATAATTTAAGTAAATACGTTTCCTTTATTTTGTGTGGGGATAATTTCAGCCGAGTCTAAGAGGCTTTTCAAGTAATTATTGTTGTTGGAGCACTTGCGGTGGTATAATTAAGGCTTTCTCCCCCCCTAAAAGACAAGTTAACATTTTATTTTTCCCAACACTTTTATTGTCGATTGAGCAGATTTGGGTTTCATCTTTGCACATAAAAAGCCCCGAAATGGTGCACAGAAGTAAATAGAGCTTGGCAGCCCTGGCGTGGGGATGCTGGATGCTGGAATATTCAAGGGGAAAAAAAAAAACAACAACCAACCAAAAACCAACAACTGAATCGATTAAAGTAATTTTAGAAAAGAAGTTTCTTCTTCCACGTGTATTTACAGCCGCAATCTCGTCTCTTGAGGTTTGCAAAGCGAAAAATCGCAGGAATTCCCGTTCCTGCACGGAGCCGGGAAGGCGGGAGGCGAAGTTGTTCTTGGAAGTTCACATTTTTATCAAGCGCAGTAGAATTTTATGGTCGCGACGCGATGGTAACTCAGCAATGCCCCAGAAATCAATGGCTGATCTTAAATCATCCCCCTACTGTACTCGGGTTCCCGATGAAAGGAAAATGTTTCTATTCCAAGGAAAACCGAGCGGGGATGGGTGTGAGTGCGCGGGGTGTGTGTCCGCGAGAGATAATTTATAAATACCCAGCGGAGGAAAGATTTATTAGGAATTCATAGGTTTTAAAAATAATAATAATAAAAAAAGAACCCCAAATCCTTTCCTGGGCAAACCTGAAGTTTTCACTGTTTTGCGTTTTGCTGAATGCACGAGGGCAAGATTTGCCTTAATTTCCCTTTCTGTTTACCTCCGTATTTCATTTTATAGCGTTTAAACCGAGTCTGGAGGTGCCGAAACTTTGCCTCTCGCAACATTTTATCGCGTCCTGGTTTGTTTGCATCGGTTGAAATTGTTCAATTCTCCCCCCAGAACGAGGAACGAGAGGGTTTTCTGATGGAACTTCGGAGAAACATCGAGTCAGAAAACACCCGCTCGCCACAACTGGAGAGAAAACCCACATTGAAATTGTTGCCACCGTTCCTTCCCACCTCATTTGTGGCCGAAGGATTAGAACGTCTGAATAATTTTTATTTATTTTTTTCGAAGAAACAAAGGCCAAAATAAAAGTGAAGTAAATGGAGTTAAAAGTTGCCATTATTGCTACTGCGTCAGTGATGTATTTATGTGCTGGTTAAGAGCATTTTGGATTAATTTACTGGTTTGTAGCGCTTAAAAATATTTCTAAACCTATTCAGCCCAGATCTTGAGCAAAGAGCAGCAGAGTTGCCAAAAGAAGGAGCAACTGTACCAAAAACGACCCGTTTAACTTCGAAAAAGCAGCTGCTCCTGTTTTGTTGGGTGGGGGTTATTTTTTCGGCCGTTCTATGGGATTATATATATGAGATTATATAGAAGGGATCATAATACATATAAAACATAGAGCCCAGAAAGCACAGATCATCCTAACGGCAAAGGTGAAGAGCCAGGGGGGGAAAAAAATCCTGATTCTGTGCGTCCTTTTCTTCCCGAAATCTTTGAGCCACCCTCTTTTTTTCGGCCGTGCCAACGTAAATCTTGGGGTTTTGGGATAATTAAACTGCCCTCCCACCTCCACAAAAGACAAAAACCCGATCTGGTTTGTTTTTTTTTATCCCCCTGTCTAAATGAACATTCCAAATTCCTCCTCCCAGTCGGTATTTTTAATTTTTTTTTAATTATTATTATTTTTTTTAAGCCTGGGATAATTCACCGGGGCGGAGGAAAAGAGATGTCGCGTATAAAAGGGGGGGAAAGGGCTGTAATTAACCCTGTATTTTATACCGGGAGGGGGTGATGGGGGTGTTTTATCCAGCCCCGAGAATGGAATCAAGGTGTTGATTCCGCGCAGGAGCGCGGGGGGAACGCGCGGTCTAACGTGGAGCAAGGCCGCCACCTCGCGTCCGCACACAAAATTACAGGGAATCCTTGGAAAATCCAGGGAAAAAACCGGGAGGGGTTGCGGGGGATTAGGGTTAGGGTATCCCGCTCAGACCCGGGCAGATAAAACCGTGAAAGCCAAAAAAAAAAAGGGAGTTAAAAAGCTAAAAAAAAAAAAAATCGAGTTTTTTGTCCGACTCGCAGCGCTGGAATTTTTTTTTTTTTTTGCTTTTTTGTTTTTGGGGTTTTTTTAGTTTTTTTTTTTTTTTAAAAGCTTCACCATCGCGGCAATAAAAAGAGGCAAAGCGGGTTCGCTTTTGAAAACCGCTATTGTTTCAAATTCCGAGACTAAACAATTGGTCATTCTGCTGCCGAGGGGGGCCGGAGGAGGAGGAGGAGGGAGGGGGAGAAAGGCCGGGGCTGTAAACTCATAAAGAGCTTCCCCAGCCCAGACGTCTCGCCAGAACTTCGAAGGGTGTGAGTGTGTGTGGGGGGGTTGTTGTTGTTGTGCTGTGCTTGGCTTGGAATTTCTTTAAAGGAAAAAAAAGAAAAAAGGAAAAAAAAAAAGAAAAAAAAAGGAAAAAAATAATAATAAGAAGGAGGAGGAATAAAATAAAATAAAAAGAACAAAGGGAATCATCCCGAGCGCTGGATTTTCACGGCATCTGCAAGAGAAGAATAAATTAGCAAAAGTCCCTCCCCACCTTTTCTCTTCCCCCCCCCCCCCTTTTTTTTTCTTCCCCCCCCCCCTGGGGGGAAAAAAAAAAAGAATAAAAGAAGAAGAGGAGAACTTTGTGACTGAAGCAGAAGCAAAAGCATTTCCACGTTGGGTTTCCCCACATTCCCAAGTCGTTGGAGTAATTTAGGAGTTCCTGAAAGTTTTCTTGCACTGTTTCCTTTACAGCCGTTTAGTTCCTTAACCTTCAGAAATTTATACCCTATAAAGTTTTATAGCGGTCATATTCTTTTATTGCAGCACACTGCACTGAATTTTCCTTTTTTTATGACAAGTTACTTCCCTTTCTCTCTCTTCCCTCTGTAAGCTCCAAATATCTCTCTTCTTCTTCTTTTGTTTTCTTTTCAGAGCTGCCCCAAAAGAAAGGATTTTTTTAAAGGAAAAAAAAAGAAAAAAAGAAGTGAAATATTGCCCTTTAGAGCGCCCATTATGTTAAAAATTAGTGGAAAGGGCTCCTTGGTTATATTTCTCACTACCTGCTTCCTGCAGGGCTGAGCAGGTCTCAGGGTTTGTTTGTATTTTTTTTTTTTAAATATAGAGATAGAAGCACTTTCCAAGCACTTGTATTTCTTCATGAGCAATAAAACGTCAAACGAATTTAGAGGCGGAATTACAGGACTCGCTCCTTGAGCCCCTGGAAAAAGGAACCGCGTGTCAAATCCGAGGCGATGCCAAGAAGGGAGAGCGGGGTGGGGTTTCCCACTGTTTGTTTTGGGTTTCTGATTTTTTCTTGAGCGAAGTTTTTCCTTGGGCGAAAGAGGAATAAAGCAAAGGAAGCAAATCCACTTTATCCCCTCCCGTCCCCAAAGGCTGATGTGGGAACGCGAGGATTAAACCCTCTGAAAAACAAACAGACAAACAAGCAAACAAACAAGAGACCCCCGAGAAATGGGACCAGAGAGTCACAATCTCCGATTTAACAATTAAAAAAATAATCAGAATAAAAGAATTGGCAAAGCAGCAAGTTTGGGTGGGACCAAGGAAACACTTGCTACTCCAGAGTGGAATTATTTCCATTTCCTCTGGACTGTTTTTTTAAGTGCAAGCAAAAAAAGAATCCTCGGAATACACTTAACGAGCAGGAAAACACAACGCAAATATTTCTGAGGTTTTAGATGAAGCAGTAGAACACAATGACATATAGGTGCTGTTGTTCTAAAATCGATTTTTATTCTGGAGCATTAAACATCTCTGGAAAATACATCCGGGCTGATGCTACAGAAGACATTTTTTTTTTCCAACATTTTTTTTGTCTTTAAAGTAAGCATATTTCCTAATAAAATGAGCTAACATTTTAAATTCTATTTTAAAAGAACCTTATATCGTCATCTTAAAAATATCCGCTCTTTACCACAATTCTAAGGAAAAGTGAAAAAACGTTTCTAAGTCCTGGTGGCCGATGGGTTGCAAAACATCAATTAACTCACGGAAAAGCTTCTGAAAAATATAGTAACGAGGATTTAGGCAAGTCCACACTCAGCTCGAGACATGAGGAACAAACCAACTCAGATTTGAAATTCATCCATCCTTGAGAAGAATCAAACAAAACTGGAATTTTTTTTACCCAGCTTAAACGCAGCTGAAAAGTGTTTTTTCGACCTCTTTCTCTTTTCTTTCTTTTTTTTTCTTTTAATAAATCCCCATTTAGGGAAACGATCCTGCTGCCACCAACTCCGCGGCTCAAAATGTCTCCGAAACAGCTTTTCTTAATTTAGTTTCGAGCCGCGGAGCGAAGTTTGGTTCCCTTGAACTCCCTCCGGCAAGAGAACAGTTAAATTTTGAAGCCCCCAAGGAGCCACTTCACCATGGAAAGTTTTACACGAGAAAGTCTGGGCATTAAAAAAAAAAACAAAACCACACTAAAACCCAACCAACTTTCTGAGGAATGGTCTTAAACACTTAAGCTCTGGTTTCTTGTCGAGGGGAAGGTTTTGTTTTGTTGTTTTTTTTTTCTTTTTTACCCCCGTTAAGAGGATTTGAAGCGGTGGAAATTTCAGAGGCGCAGCTACTCGATTCTTATCTCTGGATCGCGGAGGGAGGGGGGAAAAAGAAAAAAAAAAAGCAGGAACACTTTCCAAAAAAACCGCCAATCTGCCTATCGCTGCTTCCCAGAGCAACCTCTGCTCAGCAGATAAAAGTGGTCTCGCCAAACCTGACTCTAAGGATACACAAGTCACTCCTGCAAACAGATTTGCGCTGGTTCCTTCAGATACACGGCAGAAAAAAATGTTTTTTCTCTATTTTTCCCCCTCTCCGCCCTATTAAAACAAGCCACCTCACACTCGCCTTGTTCCTAGAAAGCCTCCTGGCAGCTAAATATACAAAATTTGCACACGAAGAAAACGACAGAGGTTTATTTCGATATTTTTTTCCGTCCACTATCAACTGCAGAACTCTTCGCATACTTCAAAAAGCCACAGTAGAAACAGAAAAACGAGCTTCAACATTCACAGAAACACAACCACGAACACGGTTTACAATACCCACCATAGCATCGACTGGAACTAACCCCCCCGAACCCCGGCCCTCCCTCCCACCCCCCTCCCTTCCCAAAACAAAGTTAAGTCTTACAGAGATAAAGGGGACCCAAGTCCCGCCCGGAGGGACCTGCAGCGGCTCTGGCAGGCGGGAAATCGGCTCCGGCCGCAGGACACGAGCCCGGCGAGGTCCAGATTTGTGACTCTTCGGGCTCAGGATGAGGATTAGGGAGGGGGGGAGGCGGCCGGAGGAGCCGCCGCATCCCCCGGTGCCACCCGTGGGCCGAGGTTCCTTCCTCGGGGCCCGGAGGGGAGCGGGTGGCAGCGGGAAAACACTCCGGGAGCTCAAAAAAAACCCCAACAACCCCAACCCCAGCAAAAGCCCCGCGACATCCAAGTATTAAAAGCGACTCTCAGCGAACGGGAGGGGGAAGGAATAACACACAGGCTGGGGTTGGCACTTTATCTCTGCAACAGCCCTACTGCTTTAGGAAAAGTCAATTCACAATAAATTATAAATATCTAGCGCTAAGAACACAACCTTCCCCTCCCTGATAGCTCTACTAAGGTAGTTTTTTTTTTTAAACTAGAAAAAAAATCCCATTCTTCCTCTTCTCTAAAAAGTTAGGGATAAGTTGGCAGGGGTTCTTCCGCCCCTTTTTCTCCTCAATAATTTACAATGCGGCTCTGAGAGTGCCCCCCGCACACTCTCTTCTCGCCTCCCTCCCCGGCTTTTCTCTTCTTCCAAGTGCCCCAGTATAAAACTACCAGATGAGGAGGTTTTGCCTGCAAAGATCCCACTAAACTTTCAGGTCAAAGTCACATTTCTGCCACAGCACGAATTGGAATAAAAATCCCGCAGAATAAAACGAGCTAAAAAAAGTAAAAAATAACGGGGAGGGGAGAGGAGGGGGGAGAGGGCGGAGGAGGGGAAGGGGGGGAAACCCCAGTAGGGAGTTGGGGCTGTCATGAACCGGCTACCCCGGGATAAAGTTGGCGAATTGCAAATGATTTGTTGGGCGCAATTAAACGCGAGTCTTACGAATGTGTCTGTCTTGCGAGAGGTTTAATTAAATCGTCTGGTTGCTCGGCCACCTCCTCGTGTGAGTGTGAGCTCTCGTGAGTGCGTGTGAGCGCGTGTTTTCCAGGGAATCATTGTCCTCCCGTGGGGAAAGAAAGACGGCGAGGTTTGCTGGGGGTTTGGGCCGGGGTGGGTGGGTTTTTTGTGTGTTTTCCATGGAGAAAACGCGAGCAGGGAAAGCTGCTGCTCCAACGGGAGCCTGTGCTGTGTTAACACCGCGGGGAGAGGAAAAGAGAGGAGGGGGGGAAAAAGAAATAAAAAAGAGAAAAAGTAAACAAGAAAAGAGAAACAAAACCCAGCGTGTGTCCCCAAAAAGGAGCTGCAGTTCTGGCTAAGTTGCCTCCTAAGTGGCAGCACTAAGAAGGTTTAAAAAAAAAATAAAAAGAAAGAAAGAATAATAAGCGACATCTCGCATGCAAAGGCGGAGATGGGGAAAAACGGGGAGGGGGGGGTTCTCCCTCGTTTCGGGGGGATTCGGCAGCGCTACAGGGGGGGTTGAGCTGCCTCGGAACCTGGGACAGGGGGAAAGGGGCTTGGGGGGGTGCTGCTTTTCTGCTTTTTTTCATTCCTTGCCCTGCTCCTTGTTCATTTTCTTCATTTTCATCCTTCGGTTCTGAAACCAGATTTTGACTTGTCTCTCACTCAGGTTGAGGAGTCTGGCCACTTCGTGTCTACGGTCCCTCGTCAGGTACATATTGAATAAAAACTCCTTCTCTAGTTCCAGGGTCTGGTATTTGGTGTAAGGGCATCGTTTTTTCCGGGAGGAGCGGGCGTGCAGCCAGCTGGCAGCTGGGTTGGCTGAAAGAAAAGCAGCAGCAAGATCAATACGAGGCAGCCCCCGAGTGTTTCTCAGAAGGTTTTAATCACGCCATCAAATATTAAGATTATCCACACACGCATATGCGCGGCTCGGGAGGGAGGGAGAGGGAGAGGCCGCAGGAAAATCATTTGGAATCCTCAGGGCCGGCACAGATGGTGGGGGGCCCGATCCCTGAGTTCTGCAGGCGCCCCATCCCTCCCGAGTTTGGGGGGGGACTCGTGGGCACGTTGGGTGAGCTCAGAGCTGTGTCCGTGCCCACCCTGTCCGTGCCCACCCGTGCCCGGGCTCACACGCATGTTTGGGCTCACACGTGCCAGAGTTTCCCCCCCCCCCGCTCTCCCCCCAGGTCCCTCCGTGCCAGGTGAACACCCACATCCCCTCCCAGGCTGTCAGAGCGCCCCATCTGTGCCTCGGGTACAAAGAAACCCAGGCAAAAATTATATATATATCTATTTTTCCGAGGCGCGTTTTCCCCACGTGTCCATAGATTTACTCATAGATTTACTCATAGATTTACTCATAGATTTACTTCTACGGACGCGCCGCGCACGGAAAAGGGCAGAGAGAGAGAGGAGGGCTGGAGGAACCTTTCATAAATCCTATAAATCCTGCCCTTTTTTTTTTTTTTTGTGCTTTGTGGCAAAAAAAAAAAACCGGTCTCGATACAATAAACATCCTCTGAGGGCTGCACGGACCCCGCTGCCGGAGATCTGGACAGTGTTACCCAAAGACACGGACATTTGCAGGGCTGGAAACGCAGCCAGAAAATAAATAAAAGGCCGCCCCGTCACGCTCGCGGGTGGGAGAAGTTACGTGGGAATCTCGCAGAAAGGACATTCCAGGGATTAGTCTGCTCGAGGAAGGGGGGAAAAAACAACATTTCGGGGCCAAACCCACCCCCACAGACAGCGGAGTGGCGAAGGTCGCACCCAGAGGTGAAGCGGGTTTAGGGTAAATAATGGAACATTTGCTAATCACATGCAAATATTGGCTGCCCGTTGGGTAACTGAGAGGCGGGAAAGGGTAAAACGAAGGGTTATAGACACACCACGTATTTCTATTTTATTTCCTTTGCCTCCTCTGAAATTATGACTGAAGCCATAAACCTTTACACCAATTAAATGGACCATTATAAATACACACACACACACACACGCCATTGCAACGTTTCCTCCACGTAAAATGAAATATATTGAATATTTTTTTAAAAAATAATCCGGTTAATCTTGCCCTGTAAGTACTGCCTCTTACAAATTTGCACGGCTATTTCCTTAATGTAATTGACTTGATCTAATATGCAGAATTAAATATTAAAGAGGAAGAAAGCTGTTAATAATTGATACTGTTAATCCTGCTACCCATCCTTTAATGGCAATGGAGGGCCGTGCTTCATAACAGGTTTTTATTCGGTTTGGGTTTATTTTTTTGGTCATATTTTGGATCGTTAAAATACATTTTAAATGCCAGTGTTGCTTTATCTACTCACTAGACACAAACTCCTAAACAGGAAAGCGAGTGGGAAGCGGTTCTGGCTCGTCTTTTCTTTCAAATCCAGCAAATAATTGAACAGATTCCTGTGCCATACGCAGGGCAGAGATCCATTATTAAGAAATACTTTCAAAAATTGAAAGAGTCAGGGAAATCGGAGGGAGGACTTTTTGCAAAACAGCTTCGTCTTCCAGCCCTGGCAGGCTCTCAACATCAGCCCAAATTAAACTATTATTTAAAACAAAATATGCGTCGTAACCACACGCCATAGAAACCACACAGCATCCTCTGAGCGCGGGTCCCTGCACTCACTTAGAACTTAATAACGTTTTCTTGGACAAGATTTTTATATATTCAATTTCAGGGACATTGAGCACAGGACCTGGATATTTAATTCTCTCCAATCATTCACCTCACGGTTGCAGTTTGTTCTGGATCCCTGCCCAGTACAATAGAATAGGACTTTCTTTTTGTGTGAGTGTGTGTGAGTGTGTGTGAGTGTGTGTGTGTGTGTCTGTGCGCGAGTTAAACCATAGGAGAGAAAAAAAAAGAAATGTCACCATAACATCCTGCACAAGGAGGGCAGGAAATCACAGGGGCCAGAATATGCTGGATTTTTAATCCTGTGGCTGCCATGGCAAAAAACTCGGTGGCTGTTCCACGTCGAGTGAAAAGAAAATAGAGGTTGATTCAAAGGGCAGAAGGATGTCAGGGCGTCCCGTGCTCCGAGTTCCACCCTCGGCGGGGGCTCCTGCTCTGCCACTCTGGAAAAGTTCGGCTTTCCCTGCGAAATATTTTTAGCGGGAGGGCGAAGCCAAGTTTTTTCCTCTCTCCTCCTGCCCGGGCTTTACCTTCCAGCTGCCAACCAGGTACCAGCCGGGCAGGCACGAGGTGGAGAGACCGATTCTCCCTCCCTCAAACGCCCTCGCATTGTTATTATTAGCGACGCTGTTATTATCACTAGTATTAATAATAGCGCGATTAATCGCGTTGCTGATAGCAATATTAAATGTTTTCAAGGCGAATGAGTCTTTTCCTATATTTCAATGGGCAAAAGACGAGCCAGCTCGCCGAAAAAGCGCACGCTGAAGTTTAAGTGTTTCCCCAATCTGGCTACATCACAAATAAAAGCTGATATAAAAGCTAATTAAGTTGGAAGCGCCCCCCCTTCTTTTTTTTTTTTTTTTTTTTTTTTACTAGGAAGGAGCGTGGCTTTGAAATATTCATACCCGGAATATCGTCGCGTTTAATAAACGAACAATTAAAAACACAAACGAACAAGCGAACGCGAGGAATGAACGCCGGGCACGGGCGGCAGAGCCCGGGAGGAGCCGCGGAGGGAGCGCGGTGGCCCCGCCGGGGTGCGCCGGGCACGGCAAAGCCCCCGCTGCTCTTCGCTTCCCCCCCTCCCGTGAACTTTTCCTCGGCGATTTCGCCTCTTTTCCCCTTCCTTCTCCTCCTTCTCCCCCTCTCCCTTCTCCCCGACATTCCCCGGCTCCCCCCGTCCCTTCCCTTCCCGTCCCTTCCCTTCCCCAGCTCCCGCACCCGCGCGCGTTTCCTCCCGCTTACTAAAGCGTCTCTGCTGCCGGAGCCAGCGCTCTGGAGGAAAGAGAGGGACTCGCTCCGGCTTTTGTCCGCTCTGGACTCTGTTTAAGGCCAGAGACGACGCTCATTTTTATTTTTATTTTTATTTCCCCGGCAGAGACAATGCCACCCCTCTCCCCTCCCCACCTCTCCCCTTAGGTTGGCATCAGCGAGCCGAGACTTTTCTTTAAGCCCCGATTTTAAACTTTACGCAGCATTGTCCCCTTTTATTGCACCTCCTCCAGCTTTTATACTGTTTACTTCCTCACTTTTATAACTTACTTTGATCTGTCCTGTCTTTGTCTTCGCTTCCTTCACAAACTTTATTGTCCTCGAAGCTGGGCCTTTGATTGGAAACGATCCCTTCCCTTGCAGCAGAAGTTTCTAAATTGTACTCCTGTGTTCCCTGTTTATGGACATCCCCGGGACGGCCCAGCAGCGGCTCTGCCTTAACAGATCCCTGCCCGGGGAGGTTCTCTGCCCTGGGTACTGGATCCAGCCAGCTCCGGAGGTACCTGCTCTCAGATGGGACGCTTTGATGTTGAATATATGGATGGTAGACGGCAGGAAGGGTACCAGAAGAATGTGGATTCAAAGGAGTCCAGGAGGCGCTGAAAACTGGAGGTTTTGGCTGAAAACTACAGGAGGGGAATTCTAGATGCTCATTGTGCCCAGCTTGCCTGGAACTCGAATATTGCCCAGACGAAAATTTAGCTGAAGGCGAGTCTTCGCTCTCATGACTTATAATGGAGTCGACATAATAATTGCTAAGAGTCCCAGAAATGGACATTCTCAGACATCATACAAAGCACGGTTCAGTGAAGGGAAAAAAATATATAGGACAGATCTAGATTTGTACTCGACCCCCTTCTCCAACTTCCCAGCCAACAAAGTACAGTTGGGCTGCTGTGTTGTGAGCTCCCAGCGAAATGATTGGTCAAACTTTTTTCGTGAGCCTGATAAAGCGTCAGTCTCGGCGTAAATCAATCGAAGCCGAGGGGGCTGCGCTGCGCTGTCATCCGCCCTTGCATTCCATATCAAGGATGGATTGTTTTATGTTTATGCAATGTTGCAAAACGTCAGGAGTTTTCAAAAAAAAAAAA